TTATCTACTTTGAAAATGTCTCCACTTTTATTAACGTGGGTGTCCAATTCTTAACAGGTCAGGATCTGTATATCGTTCCACGGTCACTCCCCTCAACCCAAAGACACTTTTTCTCTGATTAAAAATTTCATTTCTATTGTTCTAAACCAAATTGATAAGGAGTCTCTCCACGCAAAAGTCGGTCAGATGCTTTGACGATATCTGGTCTACATCAGCGGCCCGTTTTGATATCATGTCTTTTCCCTTTCTTTCTTTTTATTATTGCTAATTCTATTCTTCCAATTGTCTTTCGAAAATCGGCCAAGACGCTGACCTAAATCTCTTTCTGACTCCTATCTCCACCCTCAATTGGGTCATGCATCATACAACTCTTTTTTTTCTCTTCTTCTTTCTTTTCTTTTTTCTTTTCTTTCCTTCTTCTTCCCTTAAGATCGTCTAGTACAATCTTAGTGAATTATTTTCAACTCAGTTATTTTCCGTTTTAAAAAAAAATCAACAACCTGTTTAGTAACCGAGTAAGAAAAAATTAAATCATATTTCTATGAATATTTCTAATAATGCAAGGTGCCACACAGGATACAGTAAAAATACTTGTGTATTGCTTATTTTTTTGGCTCATATGAAGTTTATCCATGTTTGTATAACATTTTGATAAAAAAAAAACATTGATGACCTCTGAAGATTGGAAAGGAGAAAAGAAAGAAAATATTCGCAAGTGATGGATGAAAAGCAGCAGTATGAAATAATAATCTTAGTTGTCAGCATCTGTGGAATTTCCATGGATACAATTAGTTAAATATGATATTACTTGAATGCACTAGTACCAAGGATTAAAAAAAAAATAATCTTAATATAATGGAAGGTACATTGTAAAAAGCAAGGAAGAAAAAAAAAAATTGAAGAAATGTAACTCTTAACATTCTCAAATGTTTTGTAATGGCACTGGTGTCAGTAAGATTTTTGTGCAGATATACCAGCTTAATGTTTGCTGAATATCATCCAAGATTATATAGATAATTTTTTCCTATTCAGTTTTTTTCTTATTTCTTTCTGATGGAAGTGCAAATTTGCAAATAATCCATACATTGAAAAATAATAATAAAGTAAAATGAGAGATAAACAAATTGAGGTCAAGAAACAGAAATATGCACTTGCACAAGTAGAGAATGAATAAACAATAGAAACAGTATACAATGGAAACATTGTCATGAAAATATGTTCTATGAAATGAAAAAATATTTTAAAAGGGAAGCCATTAATTTAGAAAATGGAGACTGCTGACAGCCATTCTCTGGCATTTTTTCACTGCGCCTTTATGGGCTTGCTTTTATTCTGCTGTTTGCTTCATTGCCTCGCACCAAAAAAACAAACAAGTAAAAAATCCATCACACATATACTCACTTACTTTCTTTCATTAAATAAAGAAATTTTCTTTCTTGGGAAAACAACTCATCAGGATATGAGCAAAATACATTTTTACAGGTTTTGTCTTCCACTTTATAAGATGACAAAAGGACTTGATTTTAGAAAATACATACATATGTTTAAAAAAGTAAATAAATTTAAGAATATATGTTGTCAAATAAAAATGTAAATTTAATTTGACTTAAATGAAATATGACCTTTGTAAATAGCAAGCAACAACTTGAATTTCTGACTTTGGATGAAAGAGACTGCAAAAGGAATCATGTTTCCTATTGTTGTGTTAAATAGTAACTAATTTTTAGGCATGGTATCAATACTCATTTTCAGAAATGTTTAATGAAAACCATTTAGGTCAATGTCAATCTCATTTTTTTCCTCTACCCTGTCTCAATTAAAATATAAAAAAAGTTGATCATACTATATGACTCATATAAGTAGCATTGTTCGAAGTATCATATGTAGAAATTCCTGAAACAAAACAGCATTCAAAAAACATTGTATATATTTTTATTGTTTCTGGTGAATTTGGTGATTTAGCTAAAAAAGAGAATTTCCATTTCAAATAACTTTAACCCCTTCCCCACCAATTATTTTAGGAAAATAAGTTTCATTTTCAGACAATTTTTTTTATTTGTTTTTAATATAGTAGCTAACAAACTGAGGTACCTAGCATTTCTACCAGACATATGAGTTGACAATTAGACTCATTTCAAGCTCAGAAGGACATAAAAAGAATCAAGATTGATGTATAAACACATCTGTAGCTTGTGGTTTTTGAAATTTGTTTTGGATGTGTTTATTTGTCTCTGTCTGAAAAAGACACTTTTGGTAAAAACATATATACACATCTACGGTGGGGAAAGTGGTTAATGGATATATCTTTCTCGGCCTGTTACTTTTTATTTTCAACATTAGAGATTCAATCTTTTATTTGAATAAATAATAAATATATATTGATGCATTAATTAATTATTAGGCAATATTTTTTGACAATTAATAATTATTTATACTAATTAATGTAATAAACTGTATAATCTGTATAGCATATATGATATTCAAATTTAAATATTTTTAGTAGTAATAAATATATTTATTTTACAGCATATTAGTTTTCCAGGTTATTCTGTGTTATTCCAGGTTATACCAAATTCTCTGATTTTGATAACCAATGGATAGATGGACATAGATCTGGTTATCATAGGAGTTCAAAAGATAGATGTAGATTTAGTTATCATGGGAGTTGAAAAAGTAGACATAGGTCTGGTTTGTAGGGGAGTCAAAAAGGTAGATGTGGGTCTGGTTTGCAAGTGATTAGAAAAGGTAGACATAGATCTTGTTGTCATGTGAATTCAAACAATAGATGTAGATTTAGTTGTCATGGGAGTTGAAAAGTTAGTTATAGGTCTGATTTGCAGGGGAGATGAAAAGGTAGACATGTGTCTGGTTTTCAGGGGTGTCAAATAGATAGAAATATGTACAATAAACAAATTCCACTTTTGGGGTAGTTTTACCTTTCTGTAAGGAAGTGCAGACAGAATATTCTTGAACCCAACTGACGGTACAAGATAAATATATAAAATTATTAGTAAGTTTTTCGTGGTACAAATTATTAGTAATTATCAACATATATGAAACACAAGGTGCCTAGATATTTTTTTGTACATGTGTCTGCACATAAACCATTTTACAGAGCAAAGATTGTAGGCACAGATGTGGTGAGTGTGCTTTTCCTTTTTATTCTTTTTTTTCGGGGGTGGTGAGTAAACTATTTTTTATCCATTACAAGGCCCAAGAACCACTTAAGGAAGAGGGTTACTGTATGGGGGTGTTTTAGGAAAATAAAAATTATAGATCATGAGGATAGGTAGCATAGATAACAAGGAAGTGTGTGTTTCGCAGAGCAGCAGCCCTTGGAAATAATCTATCTGAATTGAACTTGCTCCTTATCAATGGAATACAAAGAGAGTAAGGATAGTTCATCCCTGTGTACATGGTATGGTGGGTCTTATCTGTATAGTTCTGAACTGGTGGAAATAGGGAATGTGGTTCATCAGAACATTTTCTATAGAAATAGCAATAGGCTTGTGATGTTGCATCTGTAGGTAAAGGTTGTAAGAGGGAAAATAATCCATCACTTATAGGACCTGGTAAATACATTTGGAATTTGTTGAGGCTGGAAAGAAATGATTGAGCAGTTCTAGCCCTGATATAGCAGCAATACTCCATTTTTGGTCTGATCTAATTCTTGTGAAGATAAAGCATGGCTGATAGTGTCAGGTACTTTCTGATGTGGTATAAGGAGCTAGTTGTTTTTCCATTGTCTTTTAGAGATGGATTGTATATATATATTTTCCACTTCAAGTATGGCTTGAGTTCTAACAGATTCTCAAAGCAAGAACCATTCATCATGACTAGTGAGGATTCAGAGGCAGTTTAGTGATGATGGTATTGAAAGTTATAAGCCAGTTTTTCCCTCCATCAGGCTGTTAGAGGCAGGCCAGATGAGCTGTCAGGTTCTGGTCTTATAGATTTTTAGAGGTGCACTTATAAACTGTGATATCATCTGCATTTACTAATGATCTAAGAATTTTCTTAGGTCGATTGTTAATATCCTACAAAGAGCTCACAGGTATTCTGATTTTGTGCAGAATTTATACATAAATAATCCTATTGCTTTTTTTTATGAATATTATGCTTGCAGTATTAATATATTTTATCAAAGACTTGTTTATAATTTTGAGAAAATTCATTAACATTTTAATCTTTGAATAATTGAACTCCTTTGTGCTGATGATGCTATTATGATAACATTTCAGCTGATAAATTCTTCAGTGGATTTCTTTGAGCATGAAGCATTATAAGACCTCTCTGATATATGTCAGAATCTTGAGCTACTATAATGGGTGTAAAAGAGAATAGTATCATTTGTGTATCTCACTCTGCTAGAAGAATGAACTGATTTTGGGATATTAGTGATCATCTTATGTTGTTAAAAGAAAATGGACCCTCCCTTTTATTCTCTTTTATCATATATAAAAACCTGAAGAATGGATTGACTGAAACATGGTAACATTATCATCAATTTTGTCTGAAAAAAGTTTAGAATGTTAATAGCTCTTCTAAAAGATTATAATTGATTAATTTTACATGTTTTTTAATATCTTCAGATATAATTGGCATATTTCTCCATAAGAAATTAGACTGTATTTTTTTATTTGCTTTTGTTTTCTATATTTTATAAAGTAAAAGAAATTGGATCTACATTCAATAGAAAATCTTTACTGGAAGAATAGAATCTATAGTTAAAGCAACATTTTGAGACTGAGAATGAAGAAAACCTAAATACATTATTGATAAATAATATCTAATCTGTTCACTGAAATTAGATATTGATAAAAATTATCTATCTATTCATATGGAAAAGTTATTGGCTGGATCAAGAAACCTTTTAAAAAAAAAAAAAGAAGAATTCTGATACTTATATAGTCAGATTTTGTAAAGTTATGAACATTTCAGCATTCCCTTGTATATATATCTGTATATATCTCTATTACTTATCTATTTTATTTTTACAGGTTCTTGCTACAGGACTTAGTGGTTTATTCTCATCTCTACCCAGGAAGATAAATATCACAAATGATGAATGGCACCGCCTTACTGTGGAAGACTGGGCTGATATTCCTGACCTAATACTTTTCCTTAATTCCTTAGAGTTTTGCAATGCTGTTTTGCAAGTGAGTAGTATTTTTTTTTTTAGAAACTTAAACATCCTTCACTATCAGAACTTATTTTTATAAAGCATTGTTTGTACCCATTCTATATAGTGGGGCTATACACATACACGCATGACATATTTTTATTTTCTTTACTTTGGCACAATTTGCTGGATATTATTAACAATTACAATAACATGCAGCAAAATAACACCATTAAATGTAACTGCAGAAACAAAGAAAATTGCCCACTTAGCAATAAATGTTTAACCCATAACATAATATACAAAGCTATTGTAAATAATAACATTAATACAGACAAAATATTTACAGGGGGAAGGCCACAGAAAAAAATTTTGAAAGAAAAATATTAAAACTACAAAATCTCATTCAAAAGGAAAAATATACAAAAAATACAACCCTATCAAAATACATATGGAGCCAAAAAGAAAACAATATTCCCACCAAAATCAAATGGAGAAATTATAAAAAGAGCAGACCCATACTTTATTATCAGTAAAAATTATAAATTATGCTTAGAGGAAAAATTAGGGTAAATGTAAGCATATAAATAAATATTTACTTTGCCATCTGTGGGGAAAATTGGGAAAATGGCTTACCTCGGAAACGCGTGCGCATCTGTGCAGTGTGCAAACTCTGGTCCTCCCAATGGTAAAAGGAACCAAAATGGCGGCGCGCCCATATTTTATGCCGGGCGGTCTCGGTTAGTTAACACGAAATCTCGTTGTCTCGTCATTTGCATGGAAATCGTGGTCGGTCCTCAGCTGTATAAAGCAGGCTCGTTTTGCTGTTTGGGATCAGAGAGCTTTTGGCTCGTGAGAAGGTTGGACGTGCGGCACCGGTTTCTTTGTTCCTACCTGCTATCATCAGTTGAGTTGTTGCATTACCTCCCACACCATCTAAGCACTAACTAAAAATAAACAAATAAATATAATTAAAATAAATAAATAATATCATGCAAACTTTAAATAAATAAAAGAAACAAATATAATATAAAATTAATTTATTAATAAACAAATATTAAACATACGCACTTATACTTCTGTGTGTACATGTACAGATGTACATATGCACCAAAAATGAACAGACCTAATCCCCCATAATTAATACCTCAATATATAACAAAAGTCAAAAACAAATAGATTACTAACCAATAAATAAAAATGAAATATTAAATAAATGATAAATGATAACATATGATATAAGCATACACTTATTTTAAATACATGTACACTATTTAACAATTACATATACATTTAACATAATTACATACATGTGTGTGTGTTGTATAGAAATAAAGTGTCATTGCTGACACTGTAGTTTGAATACCGATCACCAGTGAGCAAACACAGACGACTCCATTATTAAATAAGTAGATCACATAAACGTAAAGGTAATGTATAAATGGGAATTAGTGTGATGTCTAAGTGATTGCTATTCTCTATATTATCAACTATACTATTTCTCTATACTGATCGTTATATGAATTATTATTCAGTGATTACTATTTGAACAAGTATTATTTGAAGGCGTTACTACTACTGGTACCTGTGTTACAAAGTCTTGTCTACAATGAACATTTTTGAAGCAATAACAAGCATTTGCTGACCTAACAAGTTACAACAAGTGAGCATCTAACATTACAAAAGTGGTGACGAGGATGTGTTCAACTTACATAGATGGAAAAATTAATCTGCAAAAAAATATTCAACAGAATGGAAGAATTAAAAGCTATTATTGTTCAAATGTTGCAGCAACAAAAACTACAACAGGAACAACACTTGAAGCAACATACAATTACATTTACAGCAAAATAAAAAAAAAAAGTTTTTTGAGTTGTTCACCAAAATGATGGAAACAAAAACTTCAAATTCATTCACTCTTGATGTTGTCGCTAATTCAATCACCTAGTTTGTGTACAATCTGGAAGAAAGGATAAATTTCTCATCTTACTATAGAAGATATGAAGGAATCTTCAAAAGGGATTGTTTGCATTGGAATGATGAAAAGAAAGTTTGGTTATTATTGAGGAAATTATCCCCTGCTGAACATGAAAAATATGTAAACTATATTTTGCCAAAGAAACCAGGAGAAAAAAACATTTGATAAGACTGTCCTAACACTATCGAAAATCTTTGGTGATAGGAATTCATTGTTTAATATATTATGGCATTGTCTTAACTTGGTAAAGTCTGACAAAGAAGATTTTATCATGTATGCGTAAAATTCAAATCAAATGAACTCCTGATTTGTTTAAATGCCTGATATTCATTCAGGGCTTAACATCTAATAAGGACACAGTGATAAGATCCAAGATGCTTTATAAATTAGAAATGGATCCAAAATTAACTCTTCAGAGAATAGCAGAAGAGTGTCAGCATATTGTGGATTAGAAACTTGATACCATGAAGATTGAGGAAAAAGACAATTCACAGGTACACAGTATCTGACCAACTAAGAGGAAAAACTAAAAATGTTTTTCAACTCCTAATAGAACTATAAGGAAAGACTATGAAATCTCCTCAATACCTAATACTTGCCACGGCTGTGGAGGTAAGCATTTTAAATGTGATTGTTTCTTCAAAAAAAAGAAATAAATGTGGGAAATTAAGACACAAAAGCTTGTGTTACAGATCCAAAAAATGGAGAAAAAATAGAATGCATATGAACAGAATAAATACATGCAGTAATAAGAAACCTAAAAGGCAAATTAACAACACTTTGTAAAAGAGGAAATTTGTTTTTGTGCAAATTAATGATGCGAAGATGAAACTGTAATTAGACACAGAATCGGATATCACTATTATAATTGAACGGACTTGGAGGAAAATGGGTAAACCTAGTTTATTAACTTCTGATAAAGTTGCTTATGGATTATCAGGAGATTAAACTTTTTGGGTAAATTCAGTTGTAATGTCTCTTTTGTCAGAAAAACCAGAGAGTAGTAGTATTTGTGTTAAAATTACTACTAATTTGTTTGGTACAGACTGGATTGCATTGTTTGTATCTGTGAGACCTCCCAATTAACTCTTTTTGCAATAAGATAAATATTGTTACGTGTACTAATACAGCAACTGAAAAATTGAAAAGTGAATTGAAAAAGAATTTTTCAGAAGTTTTCTCTGAATGTCTAGTGACATGTACGAAAGCAAAAGCTAAGTTTCATTTGAAAGACAATGTAACACCTACGTTTAAACTAAAAAGAAGTGTACCTTTTGCAGCTTTAGATCCAATCAACAATGAATTGGACAGGCTAGAGAAATTAGGAGTAATATCAAAAATAGGCTATTCTGAATCGGCATCACCAAGAGTCTATGTTAAGAAACAGAATAATAAAATCCGCATGTGTGCTGATTTTTAGACGAGATTAAATGAAAGTTTAAAACAGCAGAACTACCTGTTACCAAGTCCAGAGAAAATTTTTACCAAACTGTATGGAGGTAAATTTTTCTGTAAATTAAACCTCTCAGATGCATATTTATGTAGTGAAAGAGATAATCAGTTACCCTGAAAAAAAGTTTGTGTTTTGTGTGCGATCTGCCAAAGAAAAATTACCAAAAAGTAGTCAGCAAAAATCTACATCAATGACTAGAAGCTATGCTAATGTTCCTCCCTCCCCTGAATGGCATGACCAATCAGAAAATTCTCTCGGTGAACAGAAGTCATTTTTTTTCGCTTATAAAAGGAGATGATTTTTTTGAGCGGTGAAATGAACACGCGTTGTTGTTGGCGAGAAGTGAGGGTTGGATTTGTGACCCCATTTTCTTGTTTCTACAGTGTGTGTTGGACTGTTACATTGGACTATTGTGTGAACTGCGATTTGGCTACAAGTGTTGCGGCTGAGAAACAAGAAATCTATTGCAGTTGCTACTATCAGTTGACAGTCTTTTCTTTACTACAACAATTTACAAATACTTTTGGATGAAGACTGTTCACAATTATTAACTATTAACACCCATAGAGAGTTATATAAATTCAACTGTCTTCCTTTCAGTATAAAGGTAGCACCAAGCATATTCCAACAGATAATGGATACCATGCTTGCTGGTTTGGATTGTGCTCAAACATATTTGGATGATGTACGTATTAAAAGCAAGACCTGAAAACAACTTGCTAAAGACCTAAAGAAAGTCTTTGAGAGAATCAAAGAATATGGCTTTAGAATAAGTGAAGAAAAATGCGAATTGTTTATTACCAGACTTAAGTATTTAGGACAAATTATTGATGAAAACGGTAGATGACTGGATCCTTCAAGGGCGAGCTCAAAAGAGGATATGCCTACTCCAACTAATATAACACAATTACAAGCATTCTTAGGGTTTGCAAATTGTCATCATACATATATACCTAACATGCACGAGTTGAGAACACCATTGAATAACCTACTGAAGAAAGATGTCAAGTGGAATTGAACAGAAAAATGTCAAAGTGCATTTGAGGAAATCAAGAAAGTATTAACATCAGATTTGTCACTATTTCATTTTGACCCAAACTTAAAGATTGTGGTTGCATCAGATGCAAGTGATTCAGGTATTGGAGAAGTAATAATACATAAATATGTCGATGGAACAACGAAGCCAATAGCACATGCTTCAAAATCATTAATTGCAAAAGAAGCTATAACCAAATAGAGAAGGAAGCATTGACCATCATATTTGTCATGAAAAAGTTCCACAAATTCTTATATGATAGAGAATTTATTCTACAAACAGACCCTTGTCCATTATTGTCCATATATAGATCTAAAAGGGTGTTCCCACAATACAGCAAATAGACTGCAGTGCTGGGGAACTATTCTATTGAATTACAATTACAAAATGGAATTTCTACCATCTAAGAAATTAAGTCATATAGACAGATTGTCTAAACTAATACCAAGATTCTGTGAACCACTTGAAGACACAGTAATTGTGGCGATAAGAGCTGAAAATGAAATTAACAACGTATCATATAATACCATATGAGAGCTTTCCATTACATTAGAGGAAATAAAAATTAAG